GGCAAACACCGGGGGGGGCGGCTTGTTTTACAACGTCGTTGCCAAGCGACGAAAACCCAACCCCGATGGCAAACACCGGGAGGGGCGGCTTGTTTTACAACGTCGTTGCCAAGCGACGAAAACCCAACCCCGATGGCAAAACACCGGGGGGCGGGGGGCGGCTTTTTTAAAACGTCGTTGCCAAGCGACGACAAGGGGGGACGAGAGATAGGTAAAAACAAACGGCGTGGTTCAATACCACCAGGTTAGAACTGCAAGCGTGTGAATGCAGAGGATCCTTGAAGCCAGTGTTTGACGGCGGGTTGGAAGGTGCAGTGACATTGTGGCACGCTTGCAAATCTACGCGCGACCCGACGCGCAATGGAAACTAGGCGATGACTCATGTTTGCACCGTCTCAGCAGCTGTATCTTCCAAATCGGCGTATATGCTAATGGCCACATTTCCGTATGCCGCATTATATGTCGTCATAAAGTACGTTTCCTCCCTTACCGCTGATCCTCGGTACACGGCCCAGGTGAGTGCCGTGATGGAGCCGTACACGAACACCCAGCGAAGCGCGCCGGAGAGGCCCAAGAAGTCCGCGATTATGAGGGGGTACAGGGCATTGTCCAGGAAGGACGTCGCGAACGACCACACCGCGTCGATGAAACCCCACTCCGACCCGAACGCCTCCGTTACCCAAGCTATGCTCCCACGGTGATCCTGCCAAAAACCACATGGCACACAGCAGTTGTTGTCAGAAGCGACCAAGGCATAAATTGCTGCTGTATGAGATACGTCGTACAACATCTCAAAAGGCCAGTTCTTCGCATTACATGCACGCACAGCAGCAGCGAGACTTCGCACCAATTTTTCAACGTTAGCCGAGCCGATTACAGTGGAATGCTCGTGTCAAGTAGACCCCCCTTTTCTCAGACCTCGGCACTCATGATGCGCTGATGATACCCTACGGACGACAGGTTCAAACGACGTGCTTGATTCCCAGCGTGCGCCCGTCCATACACAGCCAACATGTTCACGACCTGGCACATCTACGATCTTTTCCATTGCGCGAGGCTGGGATCTGCACCCCGCCTACAGCAGTAGCGTGAGTCCATCACGCCGGGAGAGGCGCAGTTGCGCACCTGAAAAGTGGTAGTGAGCTCGGCGGTAACGAAGCAGATGGGGAGCTGCCACACCAGGGGAAGGATTACAAAAAACCCAAGGGTCACCATGAACGGTCCCGCCGCTTTCACCGCCTGTCAGAAACGTCATGATGACGGGGGAGGGGGCAACATCCGGGAATTTCACAATGGTTGGTGGAATGCGACGTACACGTTGGGGATCGTGAATTAATCAAGCTCTTGCGTCCAAGCTACCTATCACGTACTTCTCGAGGAAGAAGCGCAACCGCAAGATGGCGATCGCTGTTGTGGCGTAGCTGTAGCGTACGCCTCCTATCCCGCTGTTGCAAGAAATCAACCCAACGTATCTTCTTTACGCTCATCGTAGATTGGGGGTTGAGTCTCCAGATTCGAAGGGCAACAAGACTCTACACCACCTAGGCCTGCACTCCGTAGGAGATTACCTGATATTTTCGATGTCGATTTTTTTATATACTAAAAATAGAGGGGAGGAAAGGATAGTATATCCAAATCGCGAAAAACAGTCGCCTACGGATTACAGGCCTAACACCACCACGCAACAGCATTCCTATGCTCCTGTGCTGTTTAGCACCATTTCGTGCTAAGGGGTAGTCTCTGTCCGCGTTCTCATTGCTTGATTGGGTTTGCATTTGTTCCGTGTGCGCTCCTTCTTGTACTATATTACCGAAACCTGTATGGATATCCTCTGCCGCGTTATCTGCTCCTGTGCTAGCACCTGCACCCTGCGGTGGGGAAAAAATCAATCCGACTTTTCTTTGCTCGAATGGGCTTTTGCTACCTGAGCATTACCAAAGCCATGACGGAGGTCAGACATCCATACCTGCGTTGGCCTACTCTCACCTCCTCATCTCCGAAGGGTACTCCGATGTTGTAGTAAATTAAGAATACCAGAGCACCAAACGACAGCGAGTGCTTCGCGGAAGCTGCTGGCACGCTCGGCGTGTAACCATTTTCCTCGTCCTCGTCCCACCCGATAAGGGGGGCCTTCAAGCTGCCCCCGTTCACAGACAGCACATTCTCCATGTAATCTACAATATGCAACGAGGAAGAACGGCGATTAAGTGAAGGTGAGAGACAGTACATTCTCCATGTAATCCAATGCAAGGTGGGAGATCTCGGACCAGGCGAGGACCAGGGTTGGTTTTTTAAGGTGTAGCAGGGTAGGGGGCCTTAGGGAGAGGAGCCCCTACCCGGCAGATATGCTGCCAGCGCTTCTCTTCTACTTCCGCTATTTACTGCTCGTGTTGTTGTCGGCGTGGTGGTCGGTCATCATGTTCGGATTGCTGCTGTATAAATAACGTTCCGACTCTAAAGAAACACGATGACCAATCATAGCTGCGTCGAGCGCCCGCGTCTCGAAACAAGCACTGTCGCACGCGATCAGCGGATGCAATCCTCCCCTCCTGTGTACAGCTACGCCCAAACAACACACTGATATAAATGCGCACGGGATGCGGAGGAGGGAGGTCTGCATTCGACGTCAGCAGCTGCTGTATCAACGGAGTGGCGTAGCCGTAGCTGGTGCTGTGATTCGATGATGCGAGCAAGCGGGCTTGAGTTAACCTGACTACTTGCGCTTCACATTGCAGCAAGATTAATGGTAGGCTCTGAACGCCTGGATTTGAATGGGTGATGGTACAACTAATCAGGAGGGGTGCGTGGCTTGAGAGTTGGAGAGTTGAATCGGAGGTGCAGACCGAAAACGTTACGTTACACATTGTGCCGAAACACATTCACACGCTGACGGCCATGTGCTTTCTCTCAATACGCCTCGAATGAAGGCGGGGATGCATGGGACAGTGAGACTTAGATGAAATTGCCTTGCGTAGCAAGCCACGGACGCTTGCTTCTTTACGCAACGCCCTCGGCTTCACTGCTGCCCAGCCCATTTACATTCTTTTACATTCTGCACCCTACCAAACTGCTGTCATTATAGATTCGATCGTAGACACAACACAGCAGTACGATGGGAGCTGCTAGAGCGAGGTAAAGTAGTTGCTAGCTCAAAGACCAAGTTGATCTACTGTAACTTAAGCCCTCTTTCTTACCCACGATCCCACGATCCCACGATGGAGTAGGCCGCAGCTGTAGCGGCTGCACTCCGTGTTATCGTATGCGTGCCAGGTGACAGCAACCAATGCGGGGGCTCCGTGTATCTCCAAGCAGAGATGAGAGATTGGGCTAGTCACACAGACAGACACATAACGCGCCGTGACGCCCTGCCACACAGGCTACCCACAAGCACATCATCATGATGTCTACCACGCGGCAACTACTACTCGGCGCATGCTTCATCGCGGGCAGGACCGGTGCGTTCCACGTACCGGTCGCTTCTTCCCTGTCCCATCACACGCGTTCGACACTTGCAGTTGCAGGAAAGTGCAACTCTGCCTCCGTTCGCCGAAGGTTCCGCTCGGCGGGCTTCGTCATGGCGGCGGCGGCGAGTGGTGAGATGCAGGAGACGATCGAGGCGAGGCTATCGGAGGCCCTCTCGCCGGTGCACCTGGAGGTGATAAACGAGAGCCACATGCACTCTGGGCCGGCGAAAGAGAGTCATTTCAAGGTGAATACCTGTGTACGTGCACATTGGCATGTACATGTTGCAGTGTGGCAACCGAGGCTCTTCGTGTTTTTACATAGCTGAGTAAGCATAAGCATGTGTCGAAGGCAAGGGAAGTACGCACTCCCTCAATCTCTGTAGGTGTTTCACTACTGTTGTTCTTTACTACGTTTGGTGTGACCGCCGCGCTGGTGGGCTCATGCTGAGCAGTTACGGCTCTTGCCGGCGCAGAGAGCTAGCGGTACATATGTCCGTTGTATGCATACCATGTTGTTGTTGTTGTTGTTGTCTTCACATTAAAAACCATCCCGGTCTCTCTATCCAGTACCGCCTTCTGTCTCAATCTCTCCGTACTAATCCAGCACTTGACTCGGTCAATTTCCGTGGTCACAGGCTAACGTACCTAGAAAAGGTATACCAAAATAAAATGGGCCCCAAGGGTTAGCAGAGCGATAAAATACAATAAAACAAAAGAATCAGAAACAAATAAATAAATAAATAGTGGAACGTGCGCACCACCAGCCTGGGGGGTAGCCTTCCGGAAGGACCCCAAGGGTCAACAGCAGTACGTGCCAGTAAAAAAACAAAACAAAGACGAAATAAACCAAAGGCAGACGAGGACATAAACAAACTCGCACAGAGACAGGGATATCCGTAGAGACAGTCTGAACGCGACAGCAAACGGGGGAGAGGGCAACAGAAAAACTAGTCGCTGAAATTCAACCGCAACATGTCACGTCACGCGGTCGGTCTCTTCTCGCTTGCTTTCTTCCCGCGCCGTTTCCTCCCGCCCCCCTCCCGCCCCGTTGATTGGTGCCGTATCTAGACTATTTTTGGGCCCGCTGTCTCCTCGTTTGATGGCTCGTTGTCGGCTGGCCTTCTCCTCGCCCTTGTGCCAAGAGGCCATAAACCTCTCAGCTCCCTGTAGCACCCCCGCGTGCCACGGTACCCCCCCCTCCACCTTCGCCGCCTCGTCCCAGTCTGGCTTCGGGATTCCGAAGAAGCTCCGCTTGTCGGGCGTGGAGCCGTGTCTGGCTTCGAACATACCATGCCGAAGGGGAAAGGGCTCGGTCTGAATCGCAACCACCACGCAACGACCACGCAACCACAGCAGACCTCCGTACCTACTGTGCGCTCCGCAACAAAGCGGAGTAGGCTTGATGTGTTGGCATACAGCAGAGGTCCCTGTTTAGTGCCGGCATGTGCCCAGAAAAAATTACCTGCACCATGCCGGACGCCGGCAACATATCGGACACCGGCACTAAACAGGCACGAAACAGGGACCCCTCCAACTGCTGTAGTTTTACATCGTGTAGATCCATAGAGCGTTCGTTCACTCGGACCACATGGCACCTGGTAAACTGCTTGTCACGACCTAGGCAAGAGGCCGACAACTAGGTACCGTCTAGCCCGTGCTCCCGTCGAAACCGGACTGATTCATGGAATGCGCTGAGAACTGCTGGCTCTGGGTGGGAGGCAGTTGGGTTGGATTACATAGGCAATGAGCGGATGGTGGATGGCTAGAGCGATTCACAATCCTGTCCTGCAACCGTTGGTATGGTGCGCGGATCGGAGAAGTCGCTCTGATTGTCACTTTCTGGCCACCGTCAGTAGAGTCCCTCTCCCCGACCAAACGGATCCATCCCTCACGACTCAGGTTATCGTTGTGAGCGACGAGTTCGAGGGGAAGCCACTCCTGGCTCGCCACCGCATGGTCAACGCGCTCTTCGCAGAGGAGATGAAGGGCAAGATGCACGGTGAGGAAAAAAAGGCACAACAACAATGATAATATTTGGAGCCTGGATAACACACCGTTATTTGGGTGCGGTATATGCAGGTGCGAATGCCCTATGCGTGTGATAGCGATGGCTCACGTAGCTCTCGTGACCACGAGGATACGTTTGGGATTGCTTCCAGACTGTTTTGAAAGACTGCGCGGAACGCTTCGTCGATTGCTGTGCATCAAGCTGGTCCTGCGCTGTGTCGTAGAATCGCGTCGACCTTTTGCAGGCCGGCAAAAAGGGACCACTCAAGCTGTAACCATTTCGGTGGTGTTGTGCCCCGCTGCCCTTGCTTTGCCCTCCCCTCTCGATCCATGCACCGCCACTTAGCGCTTTCGATTCAGGGGAAAACGCCCGCGCAGTGGGAGGCGGAGGGACACAAGGTAGCGCCTTCGCCTCCTTGCATGGGTGGAAGTAAAGGCGACCCTTCGATGTGAGGCCTTGCTCCAAAAACAGGACTTGAAGAGTTAATCATCCTTTTTGTTTTTTCTCCCGCAAGAAAGGGGGTGCGGGGCAGGCAAGGGATGTTTGGGCGTAGTCCTCTTACTGGTCGATCCTATGTGCGCCAAGCAGCGGGGGTTTTGGGCGTCAGGAAGCCTACGGTCGTGGAGGAAAAGCGCTTGTCACGGTCGTGGGGGAAAAGCTCTTTTCCCAAGTGGGACGCCAAACGGTTTGCTATGCCTTTACTTCGTCTTCCCATGGAGTGATGGCTAGCCAGGTGCCGTCCTGTGCTCTTTGTAGCATGTAGCTCTACATGACCTGACGACTCTTTGTAGCATGTAGCTACGGTGTGTTTTTTGGCTTGACCTGACGATAGCGGCGACAAGTGGGGGGTCGTTGTTGGTTATCCTCGGAGCACGTGCTCCTCGCAAGTTGTGCACCATTCGTAGGATGAGAAGATGCTCGGGACGGTGTTTATTCAACAGCAGTTTGCGTGTGTTTTGGGTGGGTTCAGTATGTCTGGGTGCGGGTTGACATCCACCCGCAATGGGGGACGTCGAGAGGCGGGAATCTGTCGTTAAACAGTGGGATTGTGTTGTAAAAGAGAAAATAATGCTTTGAATGGACAGTCACAGAGCTGATGACAATCCCGTGGGTAATGTGTTGTCCTGCTCGCGTAATGCAAGTGTGTAGTGGTTTGGCTTCGTGCTCCCACCGAAGCATGCCACGAGTCTACACCACAGCAGTGTCGTGACGTTCGTTGTATCCATGACCGAACATTGATGTGCCTTCGAGGGCAACGGTCTCCGATGGCGATACTGTCGTGTGCGATGCCTAGGAGCGACCGAAGCCTCTTGCTCTCGCGCGTTGGTTGTACAGCATTGTGTCTCCTTTTTACGGCGGTTGGGCGACCACGCATCTACGACATCACAAATTCAAGAGCTCTGACCCAAGTGTATATCACGAACCTATCCCTCTCAACACCACAATCCAGTAGCAATATCCCGGCTCGTGCGGCACATCGCACAGCGCAAATCGGGCTTGCTCCTTCCCCTTCTCGCATCCTTACGTTGTCCGTGCTTCACATCAAATTTGCAGCTACAAAACCACGAAGCCCGGGCACACACCCTACAGCCCCCCTCCCGTCCTATCACAACCTACGCGCCGCCCTCCTTCCCTCTTCTTCGCCCTGCTGGCTGCCATGAAAAAACCATCGCGTTTACACCGCACGTCTACCGCAGGAGCAGCAGCAGCGGCAGCAGCCAAGCGTTAGGAGCCACCGGGCTACAGCAAGGGCCTACGGGGGCAGCACGAAGAAGAGGAAGACACACCAGGAATAGTCGCGAGGCGTTATTCTCGACCTGGCGGCGGCGACGGCCGTCCAGGTTCGGGTCGGCGGTGACCGCTGCCGGCCTGTTGGCCGTAACGGTGTGGCTTTGCTCCCCCTCGGCGGCATCAGCGACGGGATCTGCGGCAAAGGCGGGAGCCACAGCGTCGGAGAGCGCTAACCTCTTGGCGCAGGTGGACAAAGCTTTCTGGATATTCAGCGAGAGCCTGGGGAGCATCGTGAACCTGAAGAGCACGGGACCGGTGGCCCAGGCCATGATCCTGTACGGGACGGCCTGGATGACGACCAGCTTGGGGCCCGTGGCCGCCGCCGGGGTTATCGGGCAGCCTCTCTCCCGAGCGCTTGTCGCGACCTGCGCCGCGCACGCTTCGTTTGCGGCGATCAAGTTCTCTCTGGCCATCCTGGCCATGTCTAACTTCCCCCCCGTCTACGCACCGGCTCCTCGTCGTCGCCTTAACAACAAGCCCACGCCACCCACCACTCCCGGGAACAAACCGCGGACAAGGGCCCCCCGGCGAAAGCTGGAATTCCCCTCTCTTTCGACCAGGCGGAGAGACCCGCCCGCTCCGGTTTCAGCGCTACCGGGGACGAGAATACAAGTGCGTCGGTCGGCGAGGTCGGTGCCAAAGCTGTGGCTGATGGCGTTGACCGCCGCGGGGGGTCCGGCGATGGGGGCCGTGGGCTCGGCCGTCGCGTGGAAAGCGGGGTTGGTCGCGATGCCGGCGGCGCTGTCGTCGCTGTCGAGGGGCTCCGTGATCTCCGCGCTGCTGGCGGGGACGCTCTGCTACGGGGGAGCGGGGACGGAGGTAGTGGCGCGTTGGGCCGTGTTCCAGGGCATCATGGGGGCGCCCTTCGCGGCGCTGCTTTCCCCTAGCGCGCTGATGTTGGTGTACTTGTGCAACTATTATTGGCGGGTGGCGAAATCGCGTCAAAGTGGGCCTGGGTCGCCCCCCCCCGGGGTGGGTGCAAAGGTCAAGGGAGGGGGCCGAGCACCCGGTGTCGGGGTTGAGCAGGAGGGGAAGGACGCCGGGGACGAGACTGATGAAGCGGAGAAAGGGGACACAACGGCCAAGGAGACAGACAAATAACCGTTTCGCCGTCCCCCGATTGACCTCCATGACCCTACAATAACAGCTGCCTGCTGTCCAGAATTTCATTGGCTCACACAGGTGGCCAAAGGTAATGTACCACGTTGTGGGAGCACCAGCTACAACCTGACCACAACTGAAGGTTGCACGCTACTGTGCCTAGCTAACCCCGCCATCGCGGAACAGAGCATGGATCAAAAACCATCAGGGTGGGCTGGCAGCACGACATGAAAAGAAGACGCCCTCAGGTCGATCCCGTGCTCTCATCTTCCCACTCCAAAACCTTCAACAGGTTGTAACCGTTGCCCACAACCTTCACCTCTGGCCACGTGTAATTTGCCAAGGTGCGGTCAAGAACCTGAAAGGTTTGGCTCATGTATCGCCGAGCGAAATTCGCCGGCCTTCATAGCGAAAGAGATGTTCCTTGAAGCGTTTACCACTCACGAGCGATTCGCATCATTGGATGGTCTTCGTACGGCCCGTGTACGGCACGCGTTTGTCCCCTTCTTCAGAGCAAACACGAGCCCAAGTCTGGGCCTAAACATGACCAAGGTCAGGTCAAAGGCAACAGCTGAAACGTTCGCCACATGCCCAACAAGATAAGTTATTGAGCGACAAAATCGTGGTCCTCCGCACCAGAGAACCTCACGTCATTGACCACGGAAAACATTCTCTCCCCATGCACCTAGAGCCTCAATAGCTCAAGCACTCGTCTACACACACCGCAACGGATCTTTTCGCGCCGCAACCGTTCGTCGAAACGTCGTCGAAACGCTACCGAAACGCACTATTGAAACGAGGACGTCATAAAAGAATACGTGCAGTCCAACTGCGCTGCGTACTGCGTCCCCGAAGGATCGACAAAAAAACATTGGAAGGGGCACAACGGACACGCACCAGACAGAGCCAAACGTCAAAACATTCGACCGCACTGGACTGTGCGTGCCAGCCAACGAGCGAAACACCCCCCTGCCACAACGGCAGACCAGTTCGTTATATCTAGAGGGCAACAGCAGTCCATGGCACTCGCCATGTGTCATCCTACACTGCAGTTCAAGCTTCCATTGCTTCGGGCGGTGTGGGCACTAGTTGTGAGTGTTTCGCGCAAAACACGGGAAAAAGACTGATCAAACTTTCAAGTTGCAGCAAAACTGTGATCGCCAACTGGTCATCTCCCGTATGCAACAAAGGTCACCCCTACACCCATCACTTTCACGACTGGAAACTCGGTCTCAAATCCATACATCACCTCCAGCTGCCTCTAAAAGTTCAAAACGTACCCAAAAATTAATTTGTCACCAAACACGCAAGCCGACCCGCCCAAGACTGGCCAACTCAGAACAAAGCAAAGCAAATTTGATGCCGATGAGCGCACCATGTCTTTCAGTAAGGCACAGATTGCGCATCTTAAATCGACGGCTACTACTGTAAACGGGCTGGAGAACTGAACGCGCCACAACAAAACGGGCTAAAACAAGCATTGGATCAACACAGGGGTTCCGAACACGGTTGATCACCATCGATAGTCCGGTAGACAAAATCACCCGAAAATTTCATTATTACATGCCTGGTGGAAGTGACACACGGCAGTATGGTATGCCACACGAACGACAACGGCATTAGTCATCTTCACACTACAGCACGGCGACGACACGCACACGAAATGCAGCAGCGGGCCGAGAGCTGCATCGCTACTCTTCACTTGTGCGAAGAAGTGACGTCTACCGCTGCGGGATGCTCCATGTCCTTGAGCACTGCCTTGTTGGACTGGTAGGATAGGTAAATGTTCCAGAAGAAACCAACGAAGTTCGCGTACAAGACCTATTGGAGTCGGCCCGACGACATATCAGGGCAGTTTTAAACGCGCAAGAAGTTGCAGATAGGCTGGGTTACAGACCGTGTGATTCTTCGAGGGATGCAAGACAAGGCTGCTGGAAACAAGGGTCGAGAAAGCTTGGCACAAAATTGAAAACATGGCACGCAGTGTCGCAGAGAGAATATCGATCAACCATGACAATGAACTGAGGAGCTCCAACACGGTTCACGGGCCGGAAAGGCGACATAAACACCGCGCGGTAACAATGTAGTGACACCTACACCTACACAACCGCGGTTCTTTTCGAGGACACTACATGTCAAGGAGTGGGTCAACAAACCCAAAGGATATTGATATCGGGAACAACATGCTTGCGGAGGTCATAACACATGGCGCATCGGACGGCACAGATAGAAGCGGGTGTACATGGTTGTGAACAAAAATCAACAAACCCGGCAACAATCAAACAAACAAAAGCCAGCTAGGGCGATCAAACTGCGACATTTGCACCGACCCCATTCCTTTCGCAAAACTTGAATAACAAACGCTCTTGGATTGCTCACAACAATTTCACGGTGGTCCCGGCAAAGCTAAGTCCTCAGGGTGCCGACCACCATCGAACGATACAGCGTACGAGCCCAATGCTGTGCAAATTTTGAGCGGATTTCACCCTCAAATTTCCAAATATCACTAATCCTCCCACCAAAATCCATGTTTCAAGGAAATAAAGTTGTTCCAACCGGCATGTGTTCCACCGGAGCGCAAGCCCAGTACGCACTTCCACGACAAAAAAAGTCGTACACTGTACATACCTGGTACACAGGTGCGACGAAGCGGAAGTTGATGACCTGGGCGGGTATCCAGTACCCCCAGTTGCTGACCACAGTTGTGGGGTAGTCAGCTCGGAGCTTACGGTCGATCTGCGGAGCAGCAGACGGCAGAAGGTGTAGGATGAATGCATGTTCTTGTTACGATGCAGGTCAGGACTTTTCACGCAAGAGGCATGTTTCCACAGGCCGTGCTGCCGCATCCATGAATGGGGCTCCTGCATCACGAGCGGGGGTTGCGTCAAGCGGGCAGACACGAATAGACCCAAGAGCCAGACGGTTGGTTGATCAAAGCAAGACCATGTGGTGTTTCTGGGATGGCGTTCACAATCGCCGGTTCACGCTTGCGTCTCGGGAAATAGACCACATCCACACACACATCGAGACGAAATCAGCACCCGAACACGCAGCAGGTGATCAAGCCACAATCTGAGCCCGCGCCTTCGAGTGAGCGGCAAAAATCCCAACAACTAGACTACACCACCAGCCACGTCTCCGACTCTCAGCCAAGGACAAACCAGGCCATCAAACGCGAACCACCTAACTCGACAAAAAAACAAAGCTAGACAAACCAACCAACCGAGTCGCGAACTCCTAACCTCTTTCACCTTAGCCGCGTTACCGTCCAAGAGCATCACCGTCGACAAAAACACGGCCAGAAACACCGGCGCGAACAGCAGCTGGTCGAGAGCTACCCTCTTGACGACCGTAGCCGGTGCGGTGCCCGGTAGTCTTCGGATCAAGAACCCGTACCACGCATGTAGCGCGGGGGCCACAACGGCCGCCCCTACGAACGTGAATCGCAATGTGCGGCCCCAGTCGATCTCGCTTGCGACACTCGTTGCCCCTCCATCGCCAAACGGCTCGTGTTGCTCGTGATCGTCGACGTGTTGCGCCGATGAATGCTCCTCTTCTCTTTTCGCCACCTCTAACGCTAGCAGCTGGCAGGACACGTCTCCGGCAAACGCTGGGGCGAGTGGGTGGGCCGCCAAGGTGCCAAGGATGGGAGACAAGCGCAACAAAAGGTTTGCAGAAAGGAGGAGCGAGGGTCAGGTGGGACAAGGTAGGGTTGGGAAACGTTACAGGGGTCGACGATAAACATGTATCACTCCCGTCCTTGAAGGCATTCAGAGCTGGTTCATACTACCCAACAATGTGATTTTGATACTTAGTTGTGCAGCGCCAAAATGGAACGTTTGAACGGCCGCATTGTACAAACACACTGGCCTCATTTCACAGCAGAGCAACACAGCAGACTTCCTGCTGCTCGCTCACACGGCACACGCTAACACTCGGCGCTCGTGAAACCTCACCGATTGCTCCGGAGGTAACCGCTTTGGTCGCCAGAGGTCGGGACTCCAGCAGGGAGTTGTACATCGAAAAAATGGAGGCTCTTGTCGGCTTCGTCGGCTTGGGAGCGCCGGTGGGTGGAGGTTGTGCTGGGACTTTCGTAGATGCCGAACGCGTTCCACTACCACCGCAACATTGACGCCTAGGCAACGCCGATGTTGTTGTCGCGCGATGTCGCGCGCCCAATAGCTGTGTATGTCCTACAATCGCCACTGATTTTGTCGTCCAAACGAACAAGGTAAACGCGCAGAAGAAGCAGCGGGTGAGGTAGCGGCAGGGGTAATGTGCGCACGCAAAACAGAATCACCTTGTGTAGAAGCAGAGCTCAAAAAGCTCTATGATTGGCTGCTACTCGAAGGGTTTCTTGGGATGAGAAGAGAGCACACCAGGGTCTGAAGGGACCGCCGGTGGCGACGTTGCGGCAACGGGTGGTTGGCTTCTAGGACCCAGCTCGATCCAACTCTGCGGGCTGTGAGCAAATGTCCTCCTTCCATCTTCAGCCACAACGGGTGTCCTGCAACTGATTCAATGATTCGAGTCTGGCGAAATGGGCGGCGTAACCCTTGCGCTTATTAGTGGATGCGCGATTTGCAACAACTTTGCGAGGGTTGCGATCTAGGCAGATCTGGGCAAGCACAAACGGTTTATCACGGAAACCAACTCTATCCCCGCAGGATGCTATCGCAACCGCAAAGGCATGTCGCTGCCTTCCATAGCTGGTCCGAACGCCAGAATTTGATAACAGGGAAAACACGACTGAGTCGACCAGTTTATGCTTAAAGTATACATGTACCAACCGAAACAACAGCAGTTCTTGCAAGCGACAACCAACAGTTAACGATTGTGACACGTCCCCCCAAATGCTCATCGAAACAACACGGCAGTGAGACTAGGGCAGGGCTGCGATCGAAAGGCTGTTTCCAGAAGAGCGGTGGAGGAGCAAGCGAGGGAGACCGCGGTTTGGCTAAGAAAAAGCTTCGAAAATGTTGCGCGTCATGTTCTCTGCACTCCCATATGCATGTGTTCTTGTATGGCGAGTGTTCCATGCCGAAGCAATATCATCGGTGCAGCACATGTGGGCAAAAGATGCGCTGAAAACTCGCAGACAACCGGGAGGGACAGCAAGAACACTGACGCAGTCGGGTCGTTTAGCGATCGTGCATCGGCAGCAGCAGCAGCAGAAGCACCATGTGGTCGGTGACTGGATTGCATTGATGCCCGACGGAAGCGCGCCTGTCGCCGTGTACGCCCAATAGGCACAACCTCATCGCCCCGGTGTTGAAAACCGTATTCTTCTGTTGAATCTGGGGTGTGCTGGGGCCGGGTGTGTGTTGCTGAACTACGGGTCGCCTCAGGGGGGACAATTGTACCGCCTGCTGTGTTTCGGGGATTGCGTAGTTGTCGGGGTCGAAGGTGTGACGTGAAACATCGTCATACATGCCACACCAGTAACGAGCGTTCAACCTGCCAATATAGGATCGTCCTACCATTCCCCATACATACCCCACCGGCTGTCTATGCTCCCATAGACTTAGTGCGTAAAACACCCACCGAGAGCTGTACATTGCAGACACCCTTTCGGATTGGACGTACACTGGTGTCATTTAGGACCCAGGGCGAAGGAGGCGGCGTAAAAAAATACACCGCGTTATATCGCCTGTATTATCCTCGCCGCCAGTTGACCGAAAATCAATCATGACCACTGACTCACCCTTTCGAACAGCAGAAGCCACCGGCATATTCTCCCCTTCCGACGTAAACAGCAGTGCAGGGCAGGCGGACAGCAACGAGATGGGCGGTGTTGTGTTGCACACGAGTACATCACATCTAGCCCCCCGCGTGAGACCCTATTGGCAGGATGGTCCTGCAACAAAAAGCTGCAGGATGGAAAACGCCTCCAGAACCAACCCACCACAAAGCCAGAACCAAGATACACAGAAACACAGAAACACAGCAGTGAACAAAGACTTGCTCCACAGAGCACCACCACAGACCACACAGCAGATCATGTCCCTCATGGATATTACCGGGAGGAAGCTGCCCTTGGGTGGAGATGACGATCTGCTTTCGGACAGCAGAAGCGTCATCGAAGTAGAGGGCAACCCCGACGATTCCACGAGGCAGCAGTCAAGCGCACAAGACAGGCAGCAGCAACAGGAAGCTAGAGCAGGGGAAGGAGCAGCAGGAGATTCAGGAATACCCCCAGAGCAAATGGTGAGGGGTGAATGCTGATCGGCGCAGTAGGAAGGATGCAGGTCGGCGTCTCGACCCTAAATGGAAGATCAGATGAGCACTTGACACGCGATACGCGCCCGCCCGCCCGCCCGCCCACGCGCAAATAGCCTTATCATTATGTCTTTCTTCTAACGTCAACAATTAAACGTAGGGCGTAACGAGCAACAACGACAGCTTTGAGAGCAGCAGGAGCAGCAGGAAGCGATACCTCAACAGGAGATGTTTCGGGGGATGCCCAGGGAGGGGATGCAGTGAGGATCAACGCAGAAGCAGATCCCAAAGCAAATAGTTTTTCAAGTCTTGTTGGCATGCGTGGGGCCGCATACGTGTGCCATGATACACGCACTCTGTGTGCACACGGTGAGGATTTCGCCGAGCAGATGTACAGCAGTACTACTACTGCAGGTGGTTTACTTGTAGTCTCTGCTTACTGCTGTACACAGCAGGGAAGACAAGCAGTCCGAATAGTATCATACACNGCAGAAGCAGATCCCAAAGCAAATAGTTTTTCAAGTCTTGTTGGCATGCGTGGGGCCGCATACGTGTGCCATGATACACGCACTCTGTGTGCACACGGTGAGGATTTCGCCGAGCAGATGTACAGCAGTACTACTACTGCAGGTGGTTTACTTGTAGTCTCTGCTTACTGCTGTACACAGCAGGGAAGACAAGCAGTCCGAATAGTATCATACACACACGTTCATCGAGCCTTGTTGTGTGCTTCGTCTGTCTTTCTTTTCTGCTATCTCGGTCTTGATGTCAGCAGATAGACGAAGGCGGAGGGAGATCAACGCTTGCGGAGGGAGATCAACGCTTGCGGAGAGAGGATCGGGGAGCGCGGAGCATTCGGGAAGCGTGGAGAAGGGAGCAGCACCAAGTAGTTCCACGAAGGTATGCTAGACCACCACGGACTCTACGTGCTTTGTTTTATTTGTTTTGCCTTCGGGGAACGCATATCTTGCATACTTTGACGCACGGAACTGTGCCGCCGTTGCCAGCCGACCAAAAGGACGTTGAAAGGAACGCACGTGGGTAAACGTGTGCGTATGCATATGTATCGGCATGATCATGTTCTATATTGAAACAGAACGCCCCATATCCCGGCGTTGCCTCGAATCAGCTACTGCTGTAGCAGCAGTAGATTTGGAGTCAGATTTCCTCTGCGGGTGATATTTTCACAGATTTACAGTTGAAAGCGACAGAGCTCGCGAGTAGGCATAACTCCCCTGACCCCTTTCGCGAGTAACCGATGGCACGCACGGCAGGAGGGCGGTGGTGCAAAAACGAAGAGACGAAGAGAAGAAGCAAAAGTGGGGCAAAGTGGGGCAAAGTGGGGCAAGACAAGAGAAGAGAATAAAGAAAATATAGGCCGCTATTCACCCCCTCCTTCCCTCTTGCATGACCGCGACGCACACGTCTGGTTGTACAGAGAAACACACTGGTTGGGTGGTACGCTGTGGTGGAAGGTATGAATTGTTCGTGATGATCGCGGGAAATGTGTCACCTGGTGTATTGCATCACCGATTACAGCAAGAGCGACGCAGATCCAGGCGTGACGCGCGCTGCAGAGATGAACATGTTTGAGCTTGAGGAATATATGTTCCATGCAACCTAATATGTTTCAGTCGGTCTGCTGCCACTCCCCCACCCTTCACCTGTGCGGCAGACAGCACGAAGAGCCGGAAAGGCGAAAGCCAGAGGACGGGCTGCGGCTGCAAGGTTGGTGCTGCGTGTATGGGCTCTGCAGCCCTGCGTTGGAAGGTTGTTGTCATGCAAATCCAGGGCTAGGAGAGATGAGGGGGGGGAGGAAACACTTCTTTCATGTTGCGAGCATGGAAGGTAGCACCTTTCTCTCAACTCGTCATGTGTTTGACTCTACTCTATTTGAATCGGATGGAACGCACCAGCTTGTACACACATGCGTGGAGGTTCTTGGTTTGTTTTGGTTGACGTCAGCATGAGGTCGAGATTGTTTTGTTGGGGTGGTTCAACCTGCTGGAAAACACCATGAACACGCTGGTTGTGGTTGCTGCGTGACTGTTGTGTCGGACTGACTGGCCTTCAGATCAACATTCGATGGCCGATAAAGACCGACGTCTACAAGCACCCACGGCTGACAACGATGGAGTTGGAGCACCTGCACGCCGTCGACAAAGAGGCTGCGGATGTTCAACAAGCACAGAAGGGGCCATTGACGACCCCAATGAAGGCCACCGCAGCGAAGCTCACTGGTATGTCGTCTAGCCTCGCTTGCTGGTGATCTAGGTAGTGTCGTTGCCCGCCTCAGCTCCCCGACATTGGGGGCGAACGTTTGTGTTTCGTTGGCGTTGAACTATAACGACGTGCTGTATAGGTTGGACTCTTGCCGCAAGAGGCGCGTTTGTAGGTTGACCTTGTGTGTTGATTGTGGATGTGATCCAAACGCCCTCCGAAGTCGAGCGATGGGTACTCTCTGTTGGTCTGGGATGCCTTTCCCACGAGACACAACGTGTCCTCCCACTCCCCAACCCAACCGGGGCACAGGATAAAATAGGGTAGTCGGAAGCTTGGTGTTTGGCCCAACGAGTGTGTTGCCCGTGTAAGTCGGGCAACGTCGTACTTGGCCCAACAAATGTGTCGCCCACGCTACGTCGGTGCGTTTTTTCTCCGTTTCAGATGCTGGATTAAAACCGCCCGCGCAAGCGGTCGTCATCGAGGCTCTGCATGACCGAAAAGTGCACCCCTGGACCATGCAGAACGAAGTCATCCGACATCGTGAGGATGCACACCCGTTCGACGCTCAAGACTTGTTGCAGAAGGTGCGAATCGTTTTTTGTCTAGTCTTGTGGTCCTGAACACTTGCTTGTCGGTTGAGGCGGCGTGTTGAAAGCGATAGTTACAATGCGCCCTCCCCGTAGCCGATTAGACACCGCATGTCGCAACCTACCTTCGCCTGCCTCCATTCTTATCAAGGTCCAGGCATGCACAAAGGACGGAGGAGTGTACAAGGTCAAGCTCGCCGAGAACGGACGTCTTTCTCACCTCTTGTGGATGTGACAGCAGAGCAGGTGTGCAATATTGGATTTTATTTGGTGCCAACACCGCACCAGCACGTACGATTGAAATAGAGAACAAACCCTGACACCCCTTTGTCCCGAAACGATGGGTGGCGTTTCCTGTGGGCACGTCCGCACGCGGGGTCTATGAAGGCGGAGAGGCCCCCTTATTCCCCTGACGTACATGACGCGTAGTTGTTTTGCTTTCCAATCTACGTTTGGTACCCGGGTCCATCCGGAGAAGTCGCCCACCCACCGCATGTTCGTTCGTCTACATCTCGCCATCACCATTGCCACGGTGTCATTTTGCCGTATGGCATCGGCCATGTCTTGTTGCTTTGTACTTCAGTATACCCTCACTGGCCACCTCCCGAATTCCCCTATGCCACGTTTTTGTACTGTACATGTTCTTTAGGATGTCGCACCCAAGATGCAGTCATGGCGATGCCCCTGTTTTTTCGTCGCATCGTGGACCTAACGCTGCTTCCCCATGCCGTGTGCGATATATGTACAGATTGCTCTTGCAAGCCGATACGGCTCCGTTCTCCTGTATGATGACACGGCTGTCAAGAACCGTTATCGTCTTCCTCTCGGACTTGGTGTCGTAATCGATGGAGAGTCCCTCTGGCGTATTGTCTTCCAGTCACTTACGGTAGACACTACCACAGTCACATTTGAGTGGGTACTAGACGAGTTCAAGGCTGCCCGGGGGGCGGCTCCTGACATGTTCCTGCAAGATGCGGACGCGGCCATGGGCCTGGCAGCGGACAAGGTTTTCCCAGATGCTAAGAAACTGCGATGCATGTGGCACCTTGGCCAAAACCTCATCAAGAACCTGAAGAAGGTGCTGGGGTCGGCGTTCCAGGTGAGGCATTGTTTGTACCTTGTCATCGGGCCTTCTGCGCAGCGTGCGTGGTCCCTACTGCCGTCATCGGTTGCTTAGATTGACGTTCCCCTAAACTACTGCTGTGGCTGCTTCATGATTTCACCTGTGGTCTTGACATGTTCGACATTTCTTTCTTGTGGTGCTTGTCTCTTTGTTCCCGACATCGAACAGGTGTTCCTCGATCAATTCTACAAGACTCGTGACCGGCTCACGGAAAGTGGGTTCGAGGAGGAGTATGCCAAGCTCATCGAGACGTTCCCGAAGGCGAAGGAGTACATTTGACTACCTTTACAAGAACCGCGAGCGCTGGGCAGTCTACAGCTCTGTCCTGGTCTTCAGGGCCGCCTCTTACACTACCAACAGGGTCGAATGTATGTGAAAGAGGGGTTTCCGTCCGTAACGTGTGCGATGTAGGCGTGTTGGACGTGCGCGTAATTCATCCAGTCCCTACCGTCTGTGCCAAAGGCTTGCTCACGACGCCATGCAGGTCGTTGTAGACGTGCCGTGGTTTGCTCCGTCTAGATCCACGGATACCTCATTGCCTGTCGAAAGCCGTTGCACAATACTTCCGCGAACGTGATTATGTCGCGAAGCATGTGCCTGTTCAGATAAATTTGAGTCGGGGTTCGCTGCGTTTTGAATGCCCACCCTCAGGAGTGTGTCATCCATGCTGTCATGTGTATCCAAGCGTACTTTCATGAAATGGCGCGACGACTACCTCGTCCTTAATTGTCGCCCGCACTTTATTTTGTGTGTTCCTGTACGCCCCCCCCCCCCCCCCCCCNTGGTGCGTGTCTTCAAGTTCCTTTCCGATGGCATCGAGAAGCAAGCAGCCCGCGCAGAACTTCGCAGCGCCTAGCTACGCCTTCCATCGGTGTCATCTCCGGATACGGCCACGTACTGGTTCGGTGCGGCACTGACGACGCCGTGCAAGGTCGCGCTGGGCGTGTGGGCGTACAAGTTCATGATGGACGAGGTCGCCATGTGCGCCACGTTCTGCTCGAGTCCTAGCAACGCACTGCTTGAGGGGGCTTCCCGCGATGACGCGCTGGGCAAGTTTGAGTACATTGGTATGATGGTCGTTGACGTCGAGACTGTCGCTGTGATAGTGGAGAACCACGACGGTACATAGAAACGATATATAGTCCTGGGCATGACGGACGGTAGCCACCTTTGCTCGTGCCGCACGCTACAAGAATGAGATCTCTGCTGCAGGCATTTTTGGGCGGCGATGCGTCTTAGTCGCAGGTACAAGTTTCACGTTGGCATCCTTAGCCAGCATTGGCTGGCCGAGCAGGGGCGGAGGCCTACGAGTGAGTGGCCAGAGGGGGCAAAGCCCACCTGGGCCTTAGCCCTAAACCACATGGCCCTATCTGAGGGCGAAAAATAGGCCCCGCTTGTCGCCAGCGGCAGGCTGCAGTGTGCCACCGAGGGCGACGAGGGGGGGGGCGGAGCGGGGGCGGGGGTGCAGTGGGATGCTGGTAACGTGACGATTGAGTCTTCTCTAGTGCAACTGAAGGAGACCGGGCCCACCCCGCAAGACCGCCGATTTCTCTACGTAGACTGCCTCAAGGAGGCAACAGCAGCTGTAAGCTTGGGGGTAGAGACTGTGCCTCCCGAAGCCCTGCGGGCACTAGTGCGGCAATTTAAGCAGGNGGGAGTGCACCAGGCCTCGAGGATAGGATCGTCCGCAGGATTGGCGGTTGCAAATCCAGCTGTCGTCCGCCTACCGACGAGTAGAGATACCGGCAAACGAAAAAGGGCGTCTCACGAGGGGGGGGCTGTGGTTGGAGCGGCTAGACGGGCGTACAACCAAAGCTACAGTTGAATTGCAGGGCCCATGCTTTTCGTGAGTGACACGCATCGTAGAAGCCCCGGCGTTCGGCCGCAAGTTGCTAGTCGCGGGCCGTTGTCGGCGTTCGTGTTGGTGTGTGTGCTGGCGTGGCGAATAGGAGTACGCTCTTTTCTTGGTTTCCGGTTGGGTTGGAGACACGCAAATAAATATTTGGGGTTATCATAGACCGGAAGGATTCCGGACGTGGAGGTGTGGTGTTTCATGTGCGTGTGCCCGTGCTTGTTCCGATTGTAGGATTAAACTTACGAATTTAAACGACAGAAGGTGTCCTCAACTTGTGGGCACGCCGGCCGCACGCCGCAAGCGATTGACCAGCACTACATGGCTGACAATCACTTCCCGCAAAAATGTTTCGACCCGCTTGCTTTCAAGGTCAAAGCCTCCCCCCCCCCGGACTTAAACAATGGCCTCTTCAAATTTGTTGTCACATAAAAAAAACGTTTCGATCTCTCTACCCAGCCTTCATAACTGTCCGTACTGACCCAATACTTGACGCGGTCGATTCCCGTGGTCACAGGCTAACTCACCCTAAAAAGGTACACTCAAATGAAATGGACCGAGGGGTCCGCAAGCCAATTTATATTAACCACAGATACTGCTGTAGTAGTCTGGAGCCCTCTGCTGCTCCCTCTCTCTGTGCGCGTGTGTGATTTCACCCTACTATTTATAAATTATGGTGGCAGTCCCTCCATTGTTCGTGGTGCTACAACACGTTTCGTGTGTAGTATGTATGTAGTACACTTTTTCAGTGCATTTTTGCGTACAACTACAGCCATCCAGGGCACACAGGAGGAGGTAAACACTACACGCTGATTATGTGTCTCTCTACATGCTACGTAAGGTAAGAACTGGAACTGGGAGTCGGCATCACGGGGCGGAGACAGAGAGAGAGAGGTACATCCCCTGGTTCAACCTTGATATGTCTGCTGTGTGGGCTGTGTGCAGTCTGCCCTGTTGTGGGCTGTGTGTTCGTGCTGGTTTGTGTAGTCTGTGGAGCAAGTATTTTGTTCACTACGGCTGTGTTTCTGTGTGTCTTGGTCCGCTGCCTGGTTCTGGGTTTGTGACATGCTGGTTCTGGAGGCGTTTTCCATCCTGCAGCTTGTCGTTGTAGGACCATTCCACTCGTTACATGAGGGGGGTCATCGTAGGGTTCTCCATGATGTGCGGATCCCCCCGCGCTACAACCCTCCCATCCTCCGTGCTGTGTACGTGCGCGAGCATTGCCTGTTACCGGCGAAGCAGCAGGCTTTCTCCCTCGCCATGGATTCCGCTCTGTCAAGGATGTCGTCCGTGACCTTCCTCCCCCTTTTTGCTCTCTGTTTCGTGGCAAAAACGGCTGTGGGCTTCATTGCTCCGTCCCTTCATGTCGCCCCTTCGGCTGCGACGCCGCTGAAATGGGTGCATCAGCACTCGATCCCCCGCACCAGATGTCGGGTGGCCGGCGATACGGTCGGATTCCGCGAGAGACGGATGCGGAGAAGTGCTGGGCTGAGCATGGAAGTGGAGCCTCATGTGCTGAGGCTACAGGCTGCCGAACTTGGGTCGAGGCTCCGGGTAAGACTTGAACATGACAAAAAAATATTTTCGGCAACAGACAGGAAGAGATTTAGATACGTTCACAGAAGGTGTCCACCAACGTCAGCGGATCATGGCAGCAGTTCGGCTGTTGGAGGACAATCGAAGCTGCTGCCAACATACGAAGTGTTGGTATTTGTCATGGCGATTTCATGACGACGTTTGTGTCTTGTGGAACTTTTAGGGCGTTTCGACGTTGGCTACCAGACAACTCACGCTGCAACATCTCTTCGACCACGCTTGATACCTCTTGTAGTGTTTGTTCCGGCCGTAGACACTCGTTGATCCTCTTTGTGCAGGACTTTCAACCCCTTCGAGTCCCGCGTTCTTGCTCTTCAATCGTTTTTTGGCAGGGCACGAACGTGTTTTTCGTGGGCATGATGGGCACGGGGAAGTCCACGGTCGCGCGCGCCCTGGCGGACGTGATGGGCAGGTACATCTTCTTGGACACCGACACCATCATTGAGGAGCTTCTGGGGGCGAGCGTAGGCGAGGTGTTTGCGAAGGATGGGGAGGAGGCCTTCCGGAGCGTGGAGAGCCAGGTCTTAGACCAGGTGATACGGTGGTTGGGCGGGCGTGGGATGACGCGAGGCTAGTGGAACTTGTTCGTTGCGTGCGCTGCTCGCGTGGTGTCAACTCTCAGGTCGTGCATGAGGCGGAGCGCAGTCCTGTGGCGCACGAAATTCGTTGCTTGCTTTTTGCGACGGATGATCGGTACGAAACAGCAGTTGAAAGGAGAGCGAGCGGAACGAGCTGACCTTCTATGTGGCGTCGCATGCCGAGCGGTTGCTATCCCTCCCGAGGTGCTTGTGCGAGGACAACGTAGGAGAGGAACAGCCCTTGGATATACACGAAGTATATAGCCTACCATCGGGACGTTTTTCTGAGCGACTTGAGTGGGTGAGCTGGTATGCATGACAACTGCGACCCATGCCCACCCTTTTCGTATGTACTTGTTCCATCCCCAAACATGAAACCGTGAACACTCTTGAATCTGTTTGGTATCGTCGTTGCTGGAATAATCGACAGGTGCACTCGTACGTCAAGATGTGCGTCGCCACGGGCGGGGGCATCGTGTCGGAGAACAAGAACTGGGGGAAAATGCAGACCGGCATGGTGGTTTGGCTCGACATGAAGGTAAGAGAGAGAAAGAAGGGAAACGTACGCGCCTTTGTGCGTATTGTTTGTTTCAAATATATTCGCAGTGCATCCACTCCTAGGTTTGGATCGAAGAAAACGTGCATCCGAAGGAGGGGCGAACGAAATCAACGTTGAGGGATATGAAAATCGGAGTCTTGAGGTTTTTTTGTTGCGCGCGCGGAAATCCTTACATTGTACGTGTGAATCCAACGGAAAGCCATAAAAAAGACGGCACCAGAATCTGGGGGCCTCTCCGAACGATCGCACTCCGGTGGTTTTGTAGGCATACTCCATTCTTTGCGCCGCCGTCGTTTCTGGCGCTCACGGTGAACCATAGCAGTGCCACTGCTGTTGCCCTGCTTCGGTTGATCTCTTCTCTCATGCTATTATTGAACGATCTTCTCGAACGAGGGAAGTTAAAAAGGTTCATTTTTTATCAATGCTACAAACCCTTTTGCAATTTGAAGACTCCCCCCCCCCTCGGTGGTGTTTGCCATCGGGGTTGGGTTTTCGTCGCTTGGCAACGACGTTGTAAAACAAGCCGCCCCCCCCGGTGTTTGCCATCGGGATTGGGGTTTCGTCGCTTGGCAAAGACGTTGTAAAACAAGCCAATTCACTTCGTGAACACGGCAACCAGGTTACCGTTTCTTTTTTTACCTCCGTTTTTTTTTTTTGGCGGTAACCATAATGGCGGTCGAGTAAATCATGTTGTGCGGGGTGGAGAACCCTCACTCCGCGCAAGGGGGATGATCGCACCACGTTGTTTTTAAATGGTCAAGCACCCTCGAGGCAGTTACACAGTGCTTACAACTGTCT